AATGGTTGAGTTCACTCTGGGCTGCGTCCACAGGCACAGCCAGTTTGAGCATTTTGACCGAATTGCCAAACCAGCTGTGCCTGTAGGCACAACCTTCACCTGCTCCTCGAGTGCTCCGGCTGGGGGTGGGGAGAAGCGCGAGCCAAACCAAGGAGCCCAGGTTTGTTAATTGCCCTGAGAAGTTCTGTCTGTGGCCTCGATTCCAATGCCCCAAGGAACTAGAAAGTGCTAAGCTTCCAGAGCATGCAGTGAACAGTAACGATAGAAACTAAAATGTCCTGGCAATGTCACGTGCAAGTCCACCAACCTTGACGGGCCATCTAGCACCATGCCTGGGCTGGGCTGGGTACGCGGGTTCAGAAATAAACGAGATGCCTGCAGGCCCTGTCCTCAAGGAACTTATCGTCCAGCAAAAAGAGTGATGTTAAAAACATTCATGGAAAGAGAGATTTCTCTTAAAAAAGGTGAGGCTGGGCAGATTCTATGGGAACACAGGTTGAGCATCCCTAATCCAAAAATCTGAAATCCAGTATGTTCCAAAATCTGAAACTTTTTGAGCACCAACAGGAAGCTCAAAAATCATGCTCAAAGGAAATGCTCACTGGATTTTGGATTGTCGAATTAGGGACGCTCAACTGGTATAATGAAAATATTTCAAAATCCAAAAAAGAAAAAATCTGAACTCTGAAACACTTCTGGTCCCAAGCATTTTGGATAAAGGATACTCAACCTGTATATGGCAAGAAGATTTGACCTAGGGCAGGGCTTATGGAAGACCTCTGTTGATAATCTTAAAGTATGACCTGAAGGACGGCGTGACATGTGGGAAGGCCGGAGGCTGTAGCAGCCAGACAGCAAAGTACAGTTGGCCCAACTATGGCTCAGGGCTAAGGCCCAGGCTGCCGTCTGACTTTGTGTGGTTTGCAAGCTAAGAACAGTTTTCATATTTTTATGTGGTTCCAAAAAAACATCAAAAGAAGAACAATGTTTCATGACATAAAAATTATATGAAATTCATATTTCAGTGTCTATAAAGCAAGTTTTATTAGAGCACAGCCAAACTCATTCATTTAGATATTGTCTACAGCTGCAGTCAAGTTACGACCACAATGTGGACTAGTGGCAGCGGAGACTGTATGGCCTGCAAAGCTGACAATATTTATTGTCTGGTCCTTTCCAGAAAGTTTACCAACCCTTGCCTTAGAGAAAAAATGTGAAAGGAAGCCTTTGTAAACCCTGGTAAAACCCTGGCAGAAACTTCGTCTTAAAGGCAGTGAGATGCCTGGTGGTTCAATCAGGGGAAGATACAGTCAGGCTTCTGTTTTAGAAACACAGCTGTGATCTTTTCTTAAACCTTCTGCATTCTCTCTCTTTACTCGCTACAGGCAGGGGATTTTCGAGTCTCTATAGCTTCTCAGGTAAGCAGAAGAGACACCTTGGGAAACGTCATGGGGCAACCTGTGAAAAGGCAGACGTGTGTTTTAAAAGAAGCTTAACTTTAGCCCCAACCAAACCTTTAAGGATTGAAAATGACATATTTAAGCACACCTGAGTGGGGTTGGGAGTGAGAGGCAGAGAGGTCTTTCTCCAGCCAGCCCTGACCTCTGAAGGGAGAGGGGATCTAGGGTACGCGGGATGGAGCAGAACTGAACCCCACCCCCTCAAGTCTCAGGAAAGCCATCACCAGGTGCCTTCACTTGGGTCCTTGCATTTGGAGAACATGATTTTCCATGACCTTTTTATTCAACAAATGTTTGAGTTCTTGGTATAGCTCTGTCCCTTATTAACTGAGTGACCTTGGGCAATGACCTCACCCCTTCATACCCCAGTTTCCTCTGTGAAATTGGGCTGATTGCCCCTAACATTCATGGTTGTGTGGATAATTAATAACAGCCAAGGGCACTAAACAATGGTGCCCAGCACACAGCAATGACCAGTGAGGGTCAACCGTAATTGTGATGATTATACCAAGCACTGTTTAGGCAGTGGGGCTACCGCAGTAGCAAGACAGGCAAAACCCCTTCCCTTCCTGATATGGATAAAGTAAGTGGGGTGGGAGGCGGGACCCGGACTAGAGAGCAGCCAGGGGAGCCCCTAGAGGAAGAAAGATTTCGGCTAAGACCCACGATCTCACCTGAATGATGATGAGGTGGAACTACTTGAGGAGTGGGGTAAGGCAGTTCCATTTGTTACTAAACTCACAGAGGCAGACTTTGCTCTCATAATTGTAGGAAAATCACATAAATCAACTTTTAAAACTCTAACCCTAGATTATAATCTTTAAAGAAAGTTCTACAGCGAAAGCCCTCGAGTGAAGTGCCCCATCACTGTATTGTCCAGGTGCAGACTCCCACTTGTCTGAGGTCCAGGACCCGGGCTTATCTGCCGGGCTGTTTGCACTGATACCAAGAGCTACAGAATCCCCAAGGGATGAGCAAAACTGACTTTGTATAAAACGTGCAGAGTTTTGTGAAAACCTACTTGGGACCCCTAAGTTGACTCTTGTTGAGTTAACCCTTCCGTGGAGTTGGCCTTCCCCTTGCAGATCTGTTGCTGAGCACCATCCCCGCCCGCTCTGGTCCACAGGTGTTCTCCACCACCTCCTCGTGATGCTGGGGATTTGCGCCGTGCTATAGGAGTTAGTCGGGCAGCTGTAGCTCCTGCACCCAAAGTCGTCCTCAGAGAATGACAAACTCATGTTTATTCTGCTGCCAAACAAACAAAGGAACAGAAGACCACATGGTTGAGGAGAAGAGAATAGCACTTTGCCAAATATGTGCTCCAGTGATTTTTGGGAATTCAGTGATGGCTTTTCTGTGGTGCCCCACTTCTTCCTGTCACTTCCTGTGCCCTTCTCCTGCAGCCGGGGGACGAGTCTCCTCTCCCCACATTCGAGTCAGAGCTGCAGTGGACTCCTTTGAAAGCTATTCTAATTTTTAAAAGATTCGCACACGCAACCAAGGGCAGCTGAGCACTTTGCAGAGAATGTAGGACATCACCACAAAGTCGACGCTAAATGCAGGATGCACAGGAATAGCCAACTTTGCTGAAAAGGGGCTTTGTCATGGAGGCTGTGTAATTCTACCGAAGGACCAGAGCTGAGCCCCAGGCAGGGGGTTCCAATCTTTCAACCAATCACGTGGGAAATGATGTGGGAATCAGAGTGGAATACAATAGTTTTGCTCAACCCTGAGTAATACAGAGGAAACAGATTCTTGAGAACCCGTAGTACTAACCTGATTTGTTTTTATTATAGGGTTTCTTAAATATTCATAAACATGATATAAGTATAAACTTCTTATTGTTATAGCTAACATATACTTCTAAAGTCAAAAGAAGATGACAAATTAAATAGGAATAAAACAACAAAAAGAATAAAACTCACATTAATTTAACATAACAACGTGGCATTGCCCAAATGAAACTGCTACTTGCAACATAACCGTGGAGGGACTCCCATGACACAGGTTCTTTGACCGTGATGACCCAATTGTACATATGCCTTGTAATGCCCAGTGTTCTCTATTTGCTCTACAAAGAAATCTTCATTTGTATGGAATGCTCTGAGCTCATTTAGCCTTTACTTAAACATTCAAGCCCCTGTCTGTTTTTGTCCCATTCATTTATGACCGTTAGAATGGAACCAACAAACAAAATCTGAAACACAAATGCAAATATAGTGCATGAAATCACGTGGCAGCACAAACTCATAGCATGGCCCCCCCGGTGGTCCAGAGTATGCCGATATCAGTGAGTGGCATTGTCAACAAAATAAAAACTGAATGAACCGATTGTGGTAGAGAGTTGCGGGACTGTGATAGGAAAAGCCCGAGTTCTAAGTTCTTTTCTTAGTCACACGCAGACTTATTCGAGGGCTTATCATTTGAAAACAGCATGTCAGTTTGTCCTTCTGTATTTAATGTATTTGAGAAATTTTGCAATCTGCAGTTTGGTGGTTCTTTTAACAACTGTTTTTGGCGAACTCAGAAATTAAATTAGCTATCAAATCTCTGGAGACATGAAGTACATGTTTGTTTAGCAATAGGCTAGAGTAAAAATGACTCATTATAGTCTAAACTTGGTCTCTAAGCTGGTGTTCCCAGCCAGTTGGGATCTCTTCTTTTTGTAAACTTACAGTTTTTTTAGTCAGGAAAAACGGAAGACATATTTTATTAGTTCTAGTCAAAAACTCTTATATAGTGTATTCGTAGCCATATTCATAAACCCTTAGCTGTCAGAGCAAAACAATGTTACATTAGTTTTGCTTTATTTTATCATTATGTTTTATGATCTTGTGTCTCTACCTGGTGCTATGGAATAAATAAAATGCCTAAAGTAAATAAACTATGACTATAGTTTACAGTGTTAATATGTCATGTTGACAGCCAATTCCTCAACCTTCCCAGGGGAATCTACAACTAAAGCTTGTTAGACTCACATATATACCAAAGACTTTTAATTATTCTATCCTACATTTACATTTCAAAAACTCCAGTGTTGGATTTCTGATGCAAGGAGGGAAAGCCATTTTATATGATTAACATTTTGGGGGGAAATGTCTCTTGGGTCATCCCTGTATAAAAAGCCCTAATGTCTCTCACCAGCAACTGGATGTGTTTTGACTTAATGTTAACTAAAAGCCCTGTGATGTTTAGTTGTCCTTCTCGTTTCATAACCTCTCTATTGAGAAATTAAGAGAAAGTGCTCTCAAAACAATCTCTTTTGTAAATTCTCATTAGTGCTAAACATAAAACAGACATTAAGAGAAGGAGGAAAAGTACATTCTCCCCTAGGTATCCTCGGTTGACATAGAAAAAAACACTGGATATAGATTTAGGAAACTGCTCTTATCAAAATTCCTGGATATGATCACTGAAGACTCTCTCCTCTTTCTCTCTCTTTCTCTCTCCATATACATAGACACGTGTATGTATGCCTGTGTGTATATATGTATATGGGTACACATATATGTATTTGCACGTGTGTACACGATGTCTGTGTATGCACACATGTGCATGTATATGTGTATTCATAAAAACATACACATACATATACATATATGTATATGTTTTATATGTAGGTATGTGTCTGGATGCCAAATGCTTATAATGTTCAATAAAAAGGCCAAAGTAACAAAGTCTTGATTATATGAACATAACTTATGTAAGCATGTGGGCTAGGGCTGGAAGGAAACAGATATGCACATATTTAATACAAATACAAAAATGGGACAATAATAGACCACTGCCTTATCTGACCTCATTCCTTCATCCCTCTATCATTTTCTAATTAATGGATTGCTGTTATCTCTACACTTTTGTACATAGCTCTATTAGTCCTTAATATTGCATAACTACCATTTATGCCTCTTTCTCCCTAATTAAACTGCGAGCTAAAGGTCAAGGGAAGTGTCATATTCCCTTGTGTCCCCCAGTGTGATAGCTGGCACAGAGTAAGTGCTTAATAAATGCTCCTTGAATTAATGAAATGTTCATGCGAATCGATGGATGTGTGGATGGATGGTTGGATGGATGGATGGATAGATGGATGGTTGTATATATGGATGGATAGATGTATACATGGAGACTGGCCTAGCTCTCTAGGAGGCCTCATAGCAGAGGTGGCCTTGTTTTCTTTCATGGTTGAGCAAAGTGTTTGGGGTCCAGAAGCCATGATCCCAAACAAGGCAAGAAGTTATGGAGCATGAGAAGATAAATTTTGGTCCACTGTCTCCATGCTGGAGTAGCAGGGGAAAACTTCCGTGTGCCCCTCACATTAATGCCTTCTGCCCTTCCCTCCTTCTAAGCATCACTCTTTTTTTTGAGACAGAATCTCACT